ATACTGGCCCAGACCGTTGTTACATGGTTGTGTTGTGCTGTCACATCTATTATTCTGACTTCGGGTAGCTGGATCCTTCTTAACTACTTATGTTTACATCCCTGAATGAGACAGTTCAGTTTGTTGCTTTAGGACTATTTACTCTGAGCAGCATCGGCTAGGAATTCTGAAATCATAAATTAAGTGGGCTCTTAGTCATTTGAACTGTTGGCGTTGTAGACTTTTCCCCTCTCCAAGCCTTGTTCTTTTGCTGCTGTTGCTCTTGAACGCCCTCTGTGAAGAAAGCTAGATTATTTATCATCATCTAAAGCCTGAGACACGTTTGTTTTCCTTCTTTAAAAGGTAATTTTAATGGCTATATGTCAACTAGTGTCCTCCTTTGGCCTGTCTGCAGTTGGCTGTCCATAACTGGACGCCGCTGCATGTTGTTCGTTTGCCGATAGGTCAGTCCGTCTGTCGTCTGCACATAGATGTGAATCTTGTTTAAACAGTCATACTAGCTTGTTATATGCCTGCTTAGCGGTCAGTTCCTTCTTGTATTCAAACAATCTAATGACAACATTTCCACAGAAAAACTTGTGACAGATCCTGTACAAACAGTCGTATCTGTCTAATGATTAGACTCTAATCTTAGGTGACATTTATCAAGAATTGCAGACGTTACTTGCGTATTGGTATGCTGCAGTGGGGAGGGCTTCGATTCGGGAGATCAGGCTATAAAAACTCACTGCTGTGCATCTGCAGCAGGACTTCCCAGTGACGCAGTACGTATACAGCTTCATTCATGTTTTCATTTAACCTGTTCTACAAATTCTAAAATGTGTTGAAAATAATTTTTTGCAGGTTTGCAGCGAGAAAATGAGACTTTCAGCCGTCCTTTTCATGATTGCCATCTCGGTGGCACAGTCCGGTAATTGTCTACACCTTCTTTGTGCCTTTATGTGAAAATATGTCCATGTGTGTAAGTATGAATGTCAAGTTTTGCTTTTAACCTAAAGGTAAAAAGCTGACACGTTTAAAGATGAATCAGTAGCTAAGGTGACAAGCCAACTAACTGGTGAGTTTTTAAATAGAACATCTACTGTTTAAGTTATTTTTCCAGCAAAAATGGTTGGGAAAAAAAATCAGATTTTAGCTTTTGAAAGGTGAATATTTCTTATTTCTCGCTCTTCTATTGTAGTGGGCTGAATATTTGTACTTATTCATTTGTCAAATAGTGACTTTTTCTGCTCTTTTGCACATTTTCATGACAAAACCTGATTTTCTTGTGTTTCAGGGAGCGTCACACTGAAGACTTTGGTGTTCCCCAGTGAAACCAGTAACAGCTACGTCGAGCTGGTCCCTCTGAAACCGCTGCAGCTGAAGGCCTTCACTCTGTGCATGCGAGTGGCCACAGAGCTCAGCGGCAGGAGGGAGGTCATCCTCTTTGCATACCGGACTCGAGATGCTGATGCGCTGAATGTGTGGCGCGAACTGGACGGCAGGTAGAAGACCAGAAGGCCAACAACACTGGTGCTTAGATTGATGACAGCGTTGAGATTTAAGATGGATGTGACCATATTCCATTAACTTTCAACATTTTTTTTTTTATAGACTACTAATACTAACGCTGCTAACATCTATTAAAATACCACTGATAGAACTACAGCTAGGAGACACTTCTGCTGACCACACTGCTACAACAACACAAACTGTATTCTTGTTTTTCTGCACAGTTTTTGCATGTTCAGGGTAATGCACAGAGCCGAGGAACTCCACAATGTTTTAACCTTACTTTGCATTGTTAAACTCTGCATTAAAAGATCCATCCAAATCATCTGTGTGTGCAGATTGTCCTTCTACCTGAGTGGGGACGGAGTTTTATTCCGAGTCCCTGAGCTCGGCGCTCTGGAGACCCATCTGTGTGTCACCTGGGATTCCAGCTCAGGTGCGGCTGCCCTCTTCATGAATGGAAGGAAAAGCTTGACCAAAATCTACAAGAAGGGTCACACCGTCTGCAAAGGAGGAAGAGTCCTCGTCGGACAAGATCCAGACAGCTACTTGGGTGCTTTTGACCCAAAGCAGAGTTTCATCGGGGAGATCGGTGACATCAATATGTGGGATTCGGTTCTGTCAGACAGCACGATCCAAGACCTGGTCTCTGGGAAGGAAGTGCCAAGAGGAAACGTCTTCGACTGGCAAACCACACAGCTTACAATTCGCGGGAAGGTGGAGGTCATTAATCGTGAAGTGTAGCTATGAGCTAAAGCTTTAATGGAAATGTTGTGATGTCGAGTACGGCAACTTTAAGCTCTGAAATCTATCAAGTCTCCAATATTCCTGCATGCATACATGAAGATGATTTAACGATGAAAATACAAATCTGTCAATCAATATCAATCAAACTTTTTCTGCTCTAATAAAGATTCATGCATAAATTGTGAGTTATCATTCTTAACTTGGATTTGAACTGTTGATATGACATTAACTGCAGCGATTTTCAACCGCGTCAGAACCAGTTAGAACCTGGTTTAGGCTTGGTTAAGATCATCAGTAACAGCTGTGTTGAAGCTGCTGTTAGAGTCGTCCTACTGATCACATCACTGCTGATGGAGGCGGCCATGTTTGTAGTCCTGCTTTCTCAGTCCTGCATCAACCAGTCAGTCATGTGTGAGTCATTAGTTTCTTGGAGCTTTTAGTTCTTGTCTGAGAGTGTTCACTTCTTGTTCTGTCAGTTAGTACGGGCGTCAGATTGTGAACAATGAGGTGATATATAATATATATAATCCTCATATCCAACAGGTTTCTTTTCTACGGGGGCAGGAAAATGATCATGCAGCAATTTTCATAGTGTTTATTCCTACAAACCACCTCATGCTAATGCTAGGTTAGCATTGGAGCTGCTACACTCAGCTGTCAGTGAACAAACAGCTCTGATCCAGAAGAAGCCTTCGTTGTTGGCGGGGTTTTAACCAGACAAAGCTCAGGCCGGTCCGACCCAGTTTTTATCAAAACATTAAAGGTCCTGGTACAATATATACTGATTAAAGAGCAACCAGCCAACTTTTTGCTGATAATTCTGGCCTTGAACAGTGTGGTGCACATATCGAACAACCCTCTGCATATTTGCCCCGAAAAACTAGTGGGAGGACTCTCCATAAGGGTTTTATTTCCGCATACAGTTGTGAACAAAACTTTACATACACTTGAAGAGCAAAGATGCAAACGCAAGGAGTTAAAAAAGAGAGACAGCTACCTGAAGTCAGAATATAAAAATCTACCTCTATCAGTGGTGGTGCTGTTTCCATAGAGCTGCAGGACTTTGCACTGCAGCAAAAATAAGCCCAAAGTGAATAAAAATGTCAAATAAAAGGCTCCCAAACTGCCGGCAGTTCAGAGGGTTAAACACTAAAAGGAGGTCAGAAGAAGCAGGAAAACGTGCTGCTGCAGAAAGAATGGCGTTTTCTGAAACCAGTTCATCAGTTAGTGATGGAATTTTGACATTTTCTCACTAATGTACGCTAATCTGACTCCTGCATGGGGATTTCTTTTGCTGAACTCACATAAATGTCAGCCCAGAAAGCCGAGATTCGGCCGCTAAACTCAATTAGAAACCAGCTTTCGACTGAAGACAGCAATGTTCCAGTTGCCTCCGCTCTGAACGGCAGCTCAATCAGAAAAGTCCTTTAAGTTAAACCCAGACGTGTTCGTTCAGCGCGCGACTTCTGTGGGAACATATATTTTCATTTCCATTGCAGGATTTTTCCATGTTTCAGGTGAAACAGGAGCCTCCTGTTCCGGCCCTCTGGGTGGGAAAAAGCTTTTCACAAAGGCACCGTGCTGCTCGTCCTCCTGGAGGTTTACTCTCCGAGCAAACTCACAACAGTTCAGCATCCTTAACCCAAATCCACACACGACCCCTTTCTCTCTCTGACAATAGGAAAAACAGCCTTAATGAAACGCACACTCTTTCCTCGGTGCAGTAAACCACTCGCAGCGTGACTGTGGCTTTATGTCATGTTTGTCCATCGTCGTCGCTAAAACACTGTCGTCCCCCGAACCGCCGCCGCCGCCGCCGCTCTGCAAGGTGCACTCAGGAAACAGGCTTTGAACTTCAAAGTTTAAAGCTACCCAACAAGTGGAATCAGACTTATCTTAAGTCGGTGATTAGATGCATTAAACAGGGCTTCATAATCAGTTGAATTAGGAGGATAATACATCACAGGGATGAGCAGCATGGAAAATAAGCGTAATCTGCTCGAGTGAAAAACACAGGCGTAATGCACCAGCATGTGCTGTCAACGTTATGTCATTTTGCATGCAACCGGCCGCTCAAACATCTGCGAGTCCGAGACCGGTGGTGTAAAAACACCCAAACAACGGGTACTGGACTGTTTGGATTTCTCCATAATGAGCTATGATGATAGATTGAGCCGGCGAGGACTTCGGGATCTTTCGTATCGACCAATGGCAGCTCTGACTCTGGTTATTACAGTAGTCCTGCTGCAGTCATTTCTTTATTTATGCTGCGCGGCCACATGGTGGTATTTACCCTCAAACAGACAGATTGGATCTCAGTATTTACTAAACAGCTCACAAATACACCTGTTTTCGTCCTTAATCTCGGCCTGACCCCGCGCCGTCCTCTCGTCTTCCTGCTGTGTTTAAATGCCATTACTGAAGTTTTCCCTCCTCAGAGATGCAATCGTTGCAATGAAGAGACACAAAGATACGTGAAGGAACATAAAAGCAGAGCAGCTCCAGCTGCAGACCTGCAGCCCGTCGATGAACGGTCGACTGTTTCGAGGCATCGAGTTCCTGCCGCCTGACCTACAAGCTTTGTATCGCTGCTGCTGTTGTCTCTGCTCGCTGTGAAAGTCCCAAAAACAAGACAAAAGACAAACTTGTACACACCTGTGGATCCTCTCAGGTTTCATCTCAGCTCTGCTTTCAGTCTTTTCATGTTGTTTTGGTCGGGATAATCAAAAACCGTGTCTGCAGAGGGATTTTAGTTTACCATCTTTTGTCTCTGTGCACTGATCAGAGGATTCATTTTGTTAATACGAGAAGTCAACAAGTTCACATCCAGATTAGATGAGCGACGCTCAGACTGATTATTGGACCCAATATTCAGCATCTGTTTTTAAACTGATTCTGAAAAAGCATCAGAAGAATGAGAATCTTGAAAGGCGCTATATAAGTACTACGTATTATTATTCTTATTATTATTAATAATAAGAATAATAAGAATAATAATAATAAAGTACATTTATTTAAAAATGATCCCAAGTAAAGCTCCGCCCACAGCGTGATCTGATTGGTTATGCAGCCAATCCGCATGCTAATAAATGCTGAAAACTTCACTTTGAATTAATTAGATGCCAAAACATTAATTAATAATTAAGGTATTTTTATAAAGTTGGTGTCAAAGCCTTCAAACCAAGATTTGAGTTTTACCTAGAAATGTATATCAGCTCCAACTACGGGTTATCAATCTCCTTGATTACTAAGAAACAGCCCTGATCAGACCCTGGTTTGGTAAAGCATGTGCATAGGGATGCTCTAATGACTAATTTTTATTTAAAAAAATATGGAAATCTAAATGTAGTCGAGCCGACTTGAAGAAAAATTTAAAAGAAAAACCTCCAACAAAAACCAACAGGATTAAAACGTGTTCAGAAAGATTGAACGTATTTAGAGTCATTTGAAATCACATTCTTTAATTCTCAAATCGTATTTTAAATATCATTTATATGTTTTTTTTTACATGTTGCACATTTTTACCCAAACTTGACAAACAACTCACTGAATAAAAGTTGGCAGGTCACATTTAAAACACTTGCAGGCAGATTTTAGTCCAATAAATAATCAAAGACATCCAACTTTGGTCTATTTCTTTATGATTTCCCGTATATATATTTATATATCTGTGTCATACAGCACAGACGACAGTTTTAACGTCCACATGCTGAATGCGGTCACACATCGACCGGCGGGTACACGACGGTTCACTCTGACTAACCCACATACAACCTCATTTCCATTTCCTACGTTTAAATACAAACTGTGCTGCTTTCACTTCCAGCACAGTGGAAGTGGGACAGATGACGGCTACCAGTTCCATTAAACATCAGTAAAACAGACCTATTAACGCTCTAAACTTGGAGCTTCTGAACCTTTGAGAGTCACGTTATCTTGCAAAAAGAGAATCACCAAAATGGCACCATTTACTGTCAGGTTCTACTCATCCATAAAAATAACCAAAGCTAAGCTTAGAGTTGTATGAAAACAGCCGAGGTTGTTCTGTTTCTGCAGAGGAACAGGATTAAGAAGGAAGCTCAAAAACTGCTCTGAGTTCAGAGGGTTAACCGACGAGCAGCAAAGTTGAACTGTTTAGTCAACTGATTGTACACATTCAGATCCACGCTCTCATAACAAACAAACCCACATAAACTGTTTTTCCTAAACACCAAAAGTTCTCTTTATCGGAAGCAAAGATATTTCAGACTGGATGAATTTCTATTAAATCTGTAAAAAAAATAAAGAAATAAAAGAAGAAAAGGAATAAAAAGTGTTTCCACAGCAAGAAAACAACACAAATGAGAGATCTTGGTTCCTAGAAATGGTTTTCTTCCTCCGCTGCCTTTCAGATCTGTGTTTTATTCTCTGATCCGTGTGACTGGATCAGTTCAGGTCAGCCATGATGAGCTGTAATAGGTTTCTTTGTCCAAAGGTTACCTCAGCACAGCACGAAACTCAACAAAGTCAACAAGCCATAAACTTTATGTTCTGATCTTATTGTACATTTCCAAATAGTATTTGAATAAAGCCGTTTCTACAGGACACTTATACAACCAGTGCGTGCTCCAGCATTCGCCCTAACACATATTTCTGTAACGCTGCTACTGTGGTAAACTTCAGTGTCTGTTTTTGACACTGTTTTTGGTTTCCTGTCCTACAACTGCTCTCTGATGCAAGAGAGGCAGCTGTGTGATGAAACGCCGCAGATAAAAACTAGCGTGATATTCGTCTAATAACTCTGTGTTGCTATCAAAAGGTGCCTGAACTGACAAATCTGGCAACAAGCGGTTCGCTGTTTGCGATCCAGAACGCCATTAAAACCGTAAATGAGGGTTATTGTTTAATTGAGAGAGTTTGTGTTTCTAAACCGCCCTGCACTGATGTGATAGTTGAACTTTTGTCGGGCCAGTATAATCAGAAAATGCTGTTTGCATGAGTTTCTTATTCAGGGTGTTGTCTTAATCAAGTTAATACTGGAAATATTGCAGTCCATGTAAATGTTATGTCTGTGTACCGCTGCCAGAAAAAGGTCTGATTTTTGGCCAGGTTTTTGTCGTGTCCAAGACAGGCGATGGGAAGTCGTAAAATAAGCACAGAATATGATCTATTACATGTAGCAAAGCTCTGAGAGGGCAAA